GATAAAAAGTCATGAGGACAAACAACGACCAGCTCCAGCTCTTACTCTATATGTAGCGTTGGATGTTTGAGCTCATTACCATTCATTCTTTCCCGTCATCTTCAATAAGGGAGACAGACTACTACAACGTTTTTGAAGTGTGATTGTGTGTATGTGTATGTGTGTGTGTGTGTGTGTGTGTGTGTGTAGTGTGTAATTATCTTATTCTTTCTGGACCCTGTGTTGATATAGTTTTTTAAAATATTTGGTATTAAATTGTCCTTTTATATACGAGTATATAACCTGATAATAATCAATTACAGACATGGGGAGGTGTTTGGAAGGTGGGGGGGGAAGGGGGGAGAAGGCAGGGGGACAAAATGAAACAAAAGGACCAAAACCAGTAAAGAAAGTAACCTGAGGGCCATGCCAGAACAGAAAACTTGACCGAGCAAGCGAGCAAATGAAGAAGAAGAAAGACACGAGATACAAAACCAAAAGAAGCCACGAGAGATCGATGTATGTTAGCTTTGTGAGAAGAAATAGGATCGGAAATGCTTCAAACTAGTGAACACTTGAAATCAACATAAATACCAGGCTAAAAGATTTTTCAAAAGAGAGAGCTAATGTCGCTGGAGGGCCCCTTATTATTATTATAGGTAGGAGGGTGTTATTGGGTTAAGGAATTGTGAAGGGGTGGGCGGTGGTATATTAGACATCGGATATTGCGATGTTAAATTATATGCGGTTTGCAACGTACCGAAGGTCAGACATGATTCGTGTTTTATATTTTTTTCTTGTATCTTATTTTTTCCCCCTCCCCAATGACCAACGTGCAAAGGGACACCAAATGGAAAATATTTGAGGTAGAGTATGTAGGTGGAATGTGGGCCGTGAAAAGTAGATTTTTACTATGAAGAGCAACAAAGTTCAGGATTCAAAAAGAAATGAATCAAAATATCATGAATCTCTTGTTTTTTCCATTTTTGTCATCTGCATATACACAATTGTTTCCTTTGTTAGTATAAAATCCACGGAAAGATTTGAAACAAATCGATGAACTCTGGAGAACTATAGAATAAGGCTCACCTGGAGAACCAGTCTGCTGACCTCCTTTATTTCGCCGCTTCGACGCCGCGGACGTAGGATCAGCACCGGATGCTGCTGCTCGGATTGCCGCGATACGGTGTTTCGCTCGCTCGTCGCCTTGGTCGGCTGCTTTGACGTACCAGACGTTGGCTTCGAGGGGGTCGCGGCGGCATCCGATGCCCATTTCTGTGAAGTAGCCAACGGCATACTGTGCTTTTGGAAGTCCTATTTGACGTTTACCGGAGGTTGGGTGGTGAAAACGTCAGTCGAAATATAATGAGTTCGGGCGGATGACGCGTAAAATCATTTAAAATAGGCTTAATGAGATTTTTTTTTTTTTTTTTTTTTTTTTTGGTTTTTTTCTTTGAAGGATGGGGGGAGGGGATTGTTGTTTCCTTTTTTCCCTTCCTTTTTGGTTCAAGGACTTACCTAGTTCAGCAGCGCTCTTAGCCCATTCATATGCCTCATATTCATCTTTTGAAAGCAGTGGCTCCGCGCCAACCATGAACCACGCACACAACGCCATCATCGCCAGGGCGTGTCCCAATTGCGCAGCACAAGTATAGAAATGTACGCTCAGCGCGGGATCAACAGGGCAGTTAAGCTTGCCGTGTTCATAAGCATCGCCTAGTCGGTAAGCCGCGTCGGGATGGCCTAACTCTGCGGATTTGGTAAATAGTTGCGCGGCATATGCTTCGTCTTGGAAAACGTCATCTCCGTATCCAGTTTCATGGAGCAGACCAAGTTCATACGGGGCAGAGTTGTATTGGTGGTCTGCAGACTCTGCTGCTCGCTTCATCCACTTGATACCCTCCCGGTACCGGTTGACGAGGCCCATTTCGCCATCCAGACATGCACGCCCAAGTCTTGACATTGCCCCCGGATGGTTTTTTGATGCTGCTTGACGGTAAAATTGGACGGCTTTTGCGGCATCCTTTCGGGTTCCCCAGCCAAATTCAAAGCATAGAGCAGCACGGTAGCCAGCCTCCGCATGGCCATGTTTACTTGCTGCAACAAAATGTGGAAACGCTTTATCATAGTCAGGCTTGCCTTTGTTGAGAAGACCGGAAGCAATGCCATCCCCTCACCGGGTACTGGGCATAGGGATAACTCCGGTCAGCAAGGCGT